CGTCACCCCTCACACCTCCGTCTGCCCCCCTGCAGAGCAGGGCTTGGGACCAGGTCTGGGGGTCACCATGTTTAGCAGCAGATCTCTCCCACACACCCCACAATCCTCGGTAATATGGCAATTTTAACAAGATGAATGGTTTTCACTTTTATGAACCTTGGGCCCCAACACAATACAGTCAAAGAACCATGAAACTGGAAAAGTGTGTAATCCTTTTAATCCTGCCGCCTGTGAGCCAGGAGCCGCTGAGGGATTGCTGACACCCCCAGAAAGCCCCCCGTGAGTCTGAGGTGCTGAGGAGCTCACCCTAGGGCACAGAGCCCTGCTGGGTGCAGTCCCTCCCATATGACTATTGGGCCTATTTCTGCTGAATGTTCATCGAATCAAAGCTGATCCGCCGCTCCCTCCATCGCCCCCACCGTTAGGTCCTGGGCCCTTTCTTCCTGACCCACAGCCCGTGTCTTCCCCGCACTGCACTCATCTCACTTGTCATTGTAGTGTCTAATGCCTTCCTTCCTCAGGAGAAATAAAATTGCCACATGCTTTTATTCCTTAGCTATCTAATTAACACTGGTTCGTGCTGCTACATTGTTTCATAATAATAATCTTTAATATCCACAAAGTATTCTGTGTCTGCCTGTGCATTGATCATTAATGTATGACCAACAAACTTTATAGAATGAACGATGGGAAGAATGGATGCTCCAGAAGGAGTGAGAGTGACCACCTCAGGGCCCTGGGGAGGGGAGATCAGGGCCTCGGGGAGGGGAGGTTAGGGCCTCGGGGAGGGGAGGTCAGGGCCTCGGGGAGGGGATGTCAGGGCCTCAGGGAGGGGAGGTTAGGGCCTCAAGGAGGGGAGGTCAGGGCCTCAGGGAGGGGAGGTCAGGGCCCCGGGGAGGGGAGGTCAGGGCCCTGGGGAGGGGAGGTCAGGGCCGCACCTTACGATGGGCCGCAGGGCCGTCTGCAGACTGACTCTCATGTCCAGCGGATAGGCGCACTGGAAGTTGATGTTGAGTTTGGTGTCTCTGATGATTAGCTCATCGACCAAGGAGAGGGTGTTTTTGTAGATGGCATGGGTTTCATTTCTCTTTGGCATAAGAACAATACATGCATGGGTATGGGCACGGGTGGAAGGCCGACTCAGTCTGTCTGGCTCCACAAGCAGGGCTTTCACTTGCTGCCCCGGCGCTCTGATCTCAAGGCAGCACGGGGCCTCTTCCCCGGGCACTAGCCCTGGACAGGCAGGGTGTGAGGGCCCAGAGCAAATGTTCTGGCTGGGAGTCAGGGGCCACCTCTTGGCTCCTCTCCCCTCCCAGGTCACCCCCCTTACAACAAGCATAGCCTTGTTTGCAGTTACAGAGCTCAAGCCTCAGGCCTGTTCGACACTCTTTACCTGGACCAACATGTATGATCTCACACACCCTGAAACCCAGAGAGGCTACATAGCCTGCCCAGGTCTCACAGCTTCTCATGTGTCCCCGGCAGCCAGCAGCAGTGGTGCCAGCCGCCCCCTCCAGGAGGTTCCCCAGGGAGCCATCACCTCCAGGATGTTCCCGCAGGCGTTGGCCTGGGCAGGGCTGACCACGGAGACCCAGTTCCCCTCTTCTCTGTGGGTGATGCTGCTGCAGTTGTGGTCTCTCAGGTAGGCAGTGACCTCATCACCAAAACCCAGGCCTTCCAGCTGACACCGGTCCAGCAACACTTTGATGTCCTTGGCCCCACATTCCAGCTGAGGCTGCAAGCTGTGGATATCTTGGAAGTAGAGAGGGACATGTGGTGTGGACAGGGGTCTGGAAGCAGCGGGCACAGCCTGCATTCCCTGCCTGGAGAAAAGCCCTGTGCCCACCAGGAGGGTAGGTAGACTAGAAGGGCCAGGTCAGCTGGGATTCGCCAGGCTCTGTAGGCAAGGCTGGGAAAGAAGCCCTGGTGGGAGATGGCCCAGCACCCTACATGCAGGGGTGGCGAGGTGCCGTGTCCACGCACCGAGGGCATGAGGTGCTCCGGCAAAGCAGGACTGTCCCGTCCCCCAGACTAGAGTCAAAGCCAGACACACGCCACGCCCATCCCCTGGCTTTGCGAGGCCACCTGACCTGGTCAGAGCCACTGCCTGCCTTCATTCATCCAACATATTCAGCAAATACTTCTCGAGACCCTGCTATCTGTCATGTGCTGCTCCAGGCACGGGATGCAATGCTTATCAAAACACAAAATTCAGAGCCTGAAAGGGCTAACATTCTGGTAGAGGAGAGAGAGTAAATTAAGAGAAATGCAATTTCTATGGTACTTATGCATGCACAGACTCACATACATGTATTAACCACCTTCCCCGTGTGCTGGGCACACTCAGTAAACACGTAAAGAAAACATGGGCCCAGGACATGAGGATTCATTGGTCTTCTGTGAAACCAACACGCCAGCTGCTTATCACAGAAGCGTGCGAAAGTGCAAACAGGTGTGTGTCAGGTGCAGCAGGCACACAGGCCCGTCTCTGAATTCAGGTCAGTCAGAGGAGGCACTGAGGCTGGGGTTTGCAAGTGAACAAAGCAGGTGAAGGCATTGCAGCTCAAAGGAACAGCAGAGTTAAAGTGTGGCCACAGGAGAGAGGATGGTGTCTTAGAGACACAGAGTTCAGAAATATGGGAACTTAGAATGGGGGTGAGCTGGGGGAGATGGGGAGGGGAGATGGGGGAGATGGGGAGGGGAGCTGGGGGAGAT